AACTATGGAAAACAAACACAGTTCTGTGAAATGTCATCTCTGTTATACCAAATAGTATTTTTCTTGTAACGCTTAGATAGCCCAGTCAATTTAGATAAATTGCAATTTTATATTCTCAATACTGAATGGCATATAAATCACTGTGTGGTTTAAAACTGCATGACCTAGGAAGTTTATATTTAACCTCTGCCACTTCTTAGCCAGTGTTTAAGTATGTTTAAGTTAAAATTGTTTTCCTTAATACAGATACTTGTGGACTAGAAATTAATTCTTACATTAGCATCATTATATTTTAGTTTATCACCTGATATTTCAAAAAAATATATTTTAGAAATTATAATCATTATTATTTAACTTTTCATTTATCTTCTTACTATGACTTTCTTAATAGTATCCCATATATAAAAATATCACCTACATTGAGTTATGTTTTGGATGCTCTGCTTAACAGTACACAAACACTAATAAAACACTAGCAAGTAAATCACATCAAGAAATCTTTTAAAATGAATATTTAAAGAAATATTAGTTCTTAAGGCATTAATACAGAAAGGTTTGTGATTGGTACCACAGAACTATTCCTATAGATTGCTCCAAGACTGAACAGAACTCCTGCTCAAATACCTTGGGGATTAGTCCTTCATTTTGCAGGCAGTAGGAAAGCCAATGGGAAGTAGGTTGCTGAAAATGCACCGAGGAGCTCATCTACCATCATTAAATTCCTTAAGATGAGAGATGGCTAAAATATACCTTCAGCTCTCAAATTACTTTAAGCCAATAACACAACTTCTCTATGAAGTGCCACTTTTCCATTTTTGCACTATTAGAATTTGTACAAAATGATTTTTAACATCAACTATCTAAATGTGTCTCTTTTTTTCTTTTTAACTTTATTTTTATTGCAAAAGTTTTACAATTACATTTTCACCCCTTTCCCCCTCTTCCTCAACCCACCCCAGCCTTCCCAACCTCCCTAGCCCTCCCTAACCCTCCCCTCCCCCTGGACTTCCACACAGTATACTCATATCAAGTAAAAAAAAAAACCCTTTGTATAAAACTTATATAAAACTTGAACCTCTCCCTCACCCTTATAATTTCAAAAAAACAAAACAAAACTATCTAAATGTGTCTCTTAATGCCACCCTGTGACTAGAGACTGATTTCATGAAAGTGGAGGCTAGAGTGTGGGTGACCATGCTCAACTATTGACTCAAGCTATCTTTTTAACATGCTTTTGCCTGATTAACAATGAGTGATTTTCAGTCAACATGGAAACAGGAAATAGCAACTAAAATTGTATCTTTGAACTTCTCTGCAGATCTTGTACTTAGAGTGGATATGGTCAGGTAAAACAGTATATAGCAAAAATAGAACTCCAATTGGAGCAAGCCAGGCCCCAAACATTATTGCCAGTGAATCCAACAATAACTTTGCCACCCCGGCCATACCAAACTAAACTGTACTTACATACAGAAGGCTCTTTACTCTGGCATGATATCATCTCTTTCCGTCAGGTATCCTTGAAGCCAATAAAGAAAGTAGCTAGAAAGATAATGTCCCTGTGGCTCTGGACTCAAAGAAACAGCAGATTTAGATTTCTATTTTTACTCTTGATCTATCCTTTATGCTTTTTTAATACCCCATCTTAATTATGCTGGTCTATAAAAGATTGAATTGATTAGTATCTGGTAGGCATGCTGGATTAGTTGTTGACACTTTAAAGTGGATGAGATATAGATAATTGTCAAAACATTGAACAAAATATTAATGGATAGCATTTAAGTGTTTTAAAATCATATAAAGAGTGTTTAGGAAACAGTAAAACCTCAGTTTACCAGACCTTGATGCCACATTTCTCTTAATATTTACTTAATTCATTATGTAAATAATGCAAAGTATATTATAGGCATGACTTGTGTGATATCATTATGCAAGTGGTATAATTTGTTTTATTTGTGAAATGTCATCATCATGTATGTGATACTCTTAAGTTAAACTATTTAATGGCAATTATTTTCAGTTTAATTTATTGAAATAAGCATATTAAACTGACCATACTCTGGAGTATTTTGAACGTTCCTAAGCATGTGGTTGGGAGTAAGTGCTAGTGCTAACCATGTTAGTTCCTAGGTAGGATTCAGTATTTTAAGAAATGTATCCTGAAATGCTACTTAGGATGGCTGTCAAGAGAAATAATAGCTAGAAGAATAGTAATGGATGCTGAATTAGTGCGAGATGAAGACATTGAAGACATTGAAGGAAATAAATAATTGTAGCTTCCAACATTTTAGGAAGACAGTATTTCTTGTGCATTATTTGATAATTTGGAACCACCATCTCATATTACTTTGAATACTCTCCAGGTCTTGTTACATTTTTGAGAGGAGTAGTGAATTAGACATATACAGTATTTCAATGCTAACTTATCCAATACAATTATCAAGTATTTTGATAGTTATTTAATCATTTGAAGGTAATGGTACAAGTGGAGTTAAATATAGACAAGGATTTATTTTACATGACAAAGTTAATTATAGTTTTTTAATATTCTAGTGATATAACCTTCTCTATATTAAGAGGGATGAGAATTAGTATATTTGGAATTAGTATAATTTTGTCCATTTGTTTAGAAAATATCAACTGGCTAATGACCTAAATGTGTTCTACTGTATGTTTGAGAAGATATCATTGTCTACCTACCTCACCCAAGATACACCAAGTAGTCAATCTTCCTTCACCTATCTACATCCTCCATCTTCCTCCAGGGGCTCACTTCTGGTGATCTCAGAAAAAGATGTTTGAGGTCTGTTTCAAAAGATTGGAGAAGCACCATTCCCAGATTGAGTAACTCCTTCTTGTTTGAAAGCCTGTGCTGAACAACTGGTCCACATCTTCACATGGATTTTTAATAAATCACTGATGATGTGTTATGTCCTTTCTTCTTTCAGATATCATTCTGGTTTCTAACAAATCCTCCATCAGGAGCTGAATGACTACAGGCTGGTTGTTCTGACATTTGAAGCTCTAACCTCTCAAAGTTAGCTTTAAGAGGTTACTGCTGGCCCACCTGAAAGTCATCATGGATCTGCTGGTAGATCCCCTTGGAGTTTGCCTACTGAGCAGATAATGCTGTCAATATGATACTGCACTATATCTTACAACATCTAGAATCCCTGGGGACCCATGTACAGGTCCTTTTTATAGACTTCAGCTCATCATTCAGTACCATCATTCCAGAAATTCTTCACTCTAAACTAATTCAGCTCAGTGTGCCTATTCATACTTGCAAGTGGATCAGAAGCTTTTTGACAGATGGGACGTAGCAGGTGAAGCTAGGGAAAATTACATCTAGTACCCAGGCAATAAGCACAGGAACCTCTCAGGGCTTCTCTCTCCGTTGCTCTCCCCTCTCTCTGTACCAATGACTGCATCTCAAGGTAACCTTCTATTAAAGCATTGAAGTTTGCAGATAATACAATGGTCATTGGCCTCATTCAAGATTGTGATGAGTCTGCATATAGAGAGGAGTTTGAACAACTCGCCCTGTGGTGCAGCCAGAACAATTTGGAGCTGAACATGCTCAAAACTATAAAGATGACAGTGGATTTTAGGAGGAGTCCTTCTATTCTACCACCTCTTACTATATTTGATAGCACAGCTGTAGTATCCTTCAAGTTTTGGGGTTCTATAATCTCCCAGAATTTAAAGTTGGACACTTAACAGTAGAACTATCATTTTAAAAGTACAACAAAGTATGTCTTCCCAGTATCAATTCATGAAGTTCACACTGCCTCAGGAGCTGTTGGTACAATTTTATAGAATAATTACTGAGTCATTTGTTCTTCTATAACTGTCTGGTTTGGTTCAGCAACCAAACAGATCCAGATACCAATGGATAGGTAGGACTCCAGAAAGAACAACTGCAGCCAGCCTGCCTTCTGTAGAAGATCTGTATATTGCGTAGGTCAGAAGGAGGGCTGAGAAAATATCTGCAGACCCCTCACATCATGGGCATAGACTGTTTTGACTTCCCCTTGGAATGCTGCTATAGGACACTGACCCCAAAACAACTAAACACAAGGAAAGTTTCTTCCCTTGTGCCATCACTCTGTTGAACACCTAATTCTCATGGTACTGTCTAATGTCTACATACATTTACCCATGTTGCATGGCTGTAGCATTATTATTATCCTTCCTTACTAACTTATTGGTATTATTATGATTTTTGTTACTCTCTTTCTTTGCATGTGCACTGAGAACTTCTCCACAGGAGAATTCTTTGTGCTTCTAATCACACTTGGCCAAATAAAGAATTCTATTCTATTCTATTCTATTCTATTCTATTCTATTCTATTCTATTCTATTCTATTCTATTCTACTCTATTCTACTCTACTCTACTCTACTCTACTCTACCCTACCCTACCCTACCCTACCCTACCCTACCCTACCCTACCCTACCCTACCCTAGTTTGTTTATATATATATATATTCTAGAGCAGGGCTGTCAAACTCATGGCCTGTGGCTGGATGCGTCACACGCTGGCAATGCCCATGACCAGTTTAGCAAAGGAGAAAACTGATCCGTTTTCTCCGTCACATGATGCTGCCATGGCACTGCGAGTTTGACATTCCTGTTCTACAGATATAATTTTTCCCTATTTTAAGAGGCATGAGAATTATTGTATTTGAAATTAGTACAATATTGTACATTTGTTTAGAAAATATCATACTAGTAACTTATTGTTAGCTCTGGAAACATTTTATAGTAGCAATATTTTATATAATAGTTTTCATGGCACAGGAAATATGCTGCATATAAAATGTATATTTTTCCTGTTTATTTAGAATCAAGTGCATTAAACTAAATGTTATGTTTTGAACTATTTTGATAGTATGTCATAAGACACTGGGTGTTCTTTGCCACTTTTAAAATGCCTTCAATTTCCAGGAAGGTTCAGTCCCTCTAAATGCAACTTTGATGTTATGATTTTCTCAACAGGCACTGCTCAGTCCACCCTATGTTGGAATACTGCATATCATGATGAGGATCTAATCCTGATTGGAGATACTGAATGCCACGAAAATACAAGTAAATAAGAATAAAGATAATGATATAAGTAAATAATAGTAAAATGCTGCTTCGCACGTTTATTACAATTCAGTAACCTTATATTATCTTTATGATAAAAATTGGGTTTTAGCACTTAAACTTACAATTTAATATATAGTTTTACAACAGGAAATTATTGTCTGAATTGTCTTGCTAGGAAATTATGCCAGTAAAAAATAAGTGTGTCCTGAAATACAGTGCTAGAATTAAGATTAGGAATCTGCTACGGTATATTTTGACCTACTGATCAATAACTTTCAAATGCCTATTGACTTAGATAACATATACAGTCCATAGAAACATTTTGAATATTGTACATGTTTATTGCACTTTCTATAGAATATAGTAACAATTCTGTTTTCAACATCTTAATAACGCATGATCTTACCACCAAAATTCAAAAGCAAAATGCCTTCTGATTTTTCACATTTTTTTTAACAAATAACATAAATAATGTTTGCAATAAGTGTCTGGGAAACAAACGGATTTCTACTGCTTACATTCAAATTCCTCAAATTGTGATTTGGGCTCTGTTTGCTGGGGCGGTGGAGGAACAAAGGTAGAAGTTAAAATAATTTTCTTTCCAAATTTCTTGATTATATTCTAACAATCGTTGTATAGGCAAATACCTTTCGATAACCTTGAGTATTTCCATTTGTATACAAATGGAATATATATATATATAGGATCAGTTGTTATAAAATATTTTGCATAATAATTATGTTTTCCTTTTTCAGTTGGAATGTTAATTTTGTGAAGAATACACTAAATCTATTTTGGGGGGATAGTTTCAGTATTTCTGTGAAAAGAAGTCTTTTCTGAAACTTAACATGTTTGCTTGTAACTTGTTAGTCCATTTCCATACACACACACAAACATAATATGCACATACTCTCTCTGTGTGTGTGTCTACATGCATATATAAAAACACATATGAAATATGGTGGCTCAGCAGTTAAAGATGCTGAGATTGTCAGCTGGAAAGATTTGAGACCCGAATATCACACAAGGGGGTGAGTTCCCATTACTTGCCCCAGCTCCTGCTTTGAAAGCATGTAAATGTGAGTAGATAAATAGGTACCACTTTGTAGGAAGGTAACAGCATTGACGTAGAGTCATGCTGGTCATATGCCTATGCAAGTGTCTTTGGACAATATTGGCTCCCTCAGCTAAAGAAAAGAGATGAACACCTCCCCTTACTGTCAGAAATGACTGGATAGGAAAAACCTTTACACATATCATGCACTTAGGCTAAAGAAAAGTAATTCTACCGAGTATAAAATCCAGTACAACATAGAAGATTTTATAGTATTGTCCAGGCCAAGGTCAGCTCAAAATTTAGACAGTGTTGAGATATGACCTGGGACTTCATAAGGTATCAGAGATCACATATTGCAGTCTGAAATAACTATATTCCTTCTAGTAAAAAGCCATTCCTGCTATTAAGATTACAGTTGCCAACTATGTGCTACATTTTAATTCAATGTAGATATAATCCTAATTGTAAACAAAGTCAGCAGATATTGCCACTTGTAGGGATTATAAATTTAAAACTGAAATACCCATACACACACTATAATTATTTTATACCAACATTTCCCCCCCCCCAAATTTATGTTGATTTTCTAACAGAAAATAAGATTAATCACTAAAAATAACATTTTAAGAATGGATATAGAGCCATTAAAATCTACATGGATGGTTATTAAGATCTGTATTGATTTTCATTTATTTATTAAATTGATCTTGCCTTTCATGACTATATTATCATAGTTCTTGATTCTTATAAAATGATATCGTGGATCATAATGACCTATGCACTATAGATGAAATTTAACCAGCTTTTTTGGGGTGAGGTTGTACTTGGAATTTGTTTCTTGTTTAGGTCCATAATTAGGCTTTATAGTTTGTGTAGAAATAGAGAAAAATCAGAACATGTTTAATAGTAACAAACTTAAACTCAGGAATTGTAACAGTAAAAGGAATTGATCTTTAATCTCTGAGAATCACTATGAGGATAATCCACTGTGAGACTTTTGTCCATTTTATAATTTAAACTATGCTTCAATAATAATATTTTAATACTGTACTGTAAAGAAAATGAAATTGATTTGAATTCTTGTTGACTTAATGTTAGTTTTGTATTTGAATAATATTTATAAGAGAATTTTCACTACTAATTTATTACTGAGGCAGATTCAACATTTTCTCAAATGAACTTGATTTCTGGTTAGTACTATACAGAGTTGTCATTTCATATGCTAATTATAATGCACTTTCATTGTTGTTACTATGTTGTTTATTTATTTATATTTTATTACTATTGTTTTCAAATTTTAAAATAAATGGGAAAGACTACAGTACAGAAATTCATAAATGTTCACTATATCCAGAACTGAATTTAATAAAAGGGAACATAAAGATTTTTTTTTACAGTTTTAAAATTTTAATATAACAAAAAAAAGAGTGAGGTCATAAGCATCTGGGAATAGATGTTAATAATCTTTTCCTACCATGAGTGAGATTTCATGTCTTAGAATATTTGACAAGAAATTCATCTGTGGGTAGTTTCTGACAATAAGAAAGTCTCCTGTGAAATGGGTGGGTTGATAATATATCCCAAATATATGATATATATGATCTCTGGCTTAGTTTTTCTGTCTGGAAATACTGTTTCTTTTATGCTATTTATTCATACCCACCATAATAAAAATGTACTTGGGAATTTACAACCAAGGTTATACAGTAAAATAGCTATGTAAAAACTAAATAAAAGTGTAAAGCAAGCTAAAAATCCACCTAATGCATACAAATTTAAATCATAACCAATGGCATCACTTTGCACCCCAGAGATTAGTTTTTGATAGAAAAAGCACTCATATTAAGACCAACCATATGGAGGAGGAGAAGATAGCAAAGGCTTTTTTACAGTTCATACATGCTAACAGAAAACAGTGTATATTTGCCTCCATTCCTTTGATTTTCCCAAATTGGGGGACCACTAGCAAATTCCTCTGATTTACATAAAGGAGTTCTTTTTTTTCCTTCCATTCAATCATGCCCAATTCTCAGAGACTGCCTGGACAAGTCCCTGTAGTTTTCTTGGCAAGGTTTTCAGAAATAGCTTGCCATTGCCTTCTTCTTAGTGACAGGCCCAGGATTATCCAGCTGGCTTTGGACTAAGGAGAGATTAGAACGCATAGTCTCCCAGTTTCTAGCTCTAATCACTGCACCAAACTGGCTCTTGCATGAATAGGACAGGTCAAAATCTTTTGCAAAAGATGCTCCTCCACATATTCCAGTACTAGTGTTTCAAAGAGCCAAATCAGCACTTTAAACTGTACTCAGAAGCTGATGGGAAACCAGCTCAGGTTCTGGAGAACAAGTGAAACTTGTACATATTGGTGAATATCAATCAGCAAATGAACTGTGCATTCTGAACCAATTAAACTTCTAAGTGGTTTTTTGAAAATCTCATATAGAATACATTATGATGAGATATGAGTTATTTTTGCAAGATCCTGTTTAATTTATGTGTGCATTGTTATGTATGCTACAAAACCTTTACCAGAGTGACCCATTTCCTTACTTTTGTAGATTTTATATACTAATATTTTTTTAAGCAAATATTCACTTGCCTTGTCTGGGAATCTTTTAACTTTAAACTCAAAAAATGTATAAATTTTACTTTTCATGTATGTTTTCTTGCATGTGATACTAGTCTGAAATCTTCTAATTTTGTAGTGCATTTTTTGGTTATTATTAGCTTTCCTAAAAGTGATGTCATGGAACCTTTTCAACTAGAAACTTCTAAGACTGCTTGTTGCTTAATTCATCAATTTTAAACATGGTTGGATTTTTTTCCCAAGTATTTATGCAGTGCCCTTCAAATTTTAACCTCTCTTGTCTGACACACCCAAGCATTAGGATCTAAAGCTATTTTGCTGGTCTTGCATATATAATATATGGCATTTCTGGATATAATATTTTGCAAGTTCTTGATTTTTACCTTTTTAACTAGTAAACAGTTTGGACAATCTTTGTTTCCCAGTGTTGTTAGTGCTGTTATACTTAATGCCTATAGTATCTGCCCAGCTGACTGCTTTATCGGGATTGGCATGGTTCAGATTCTATTGATTAAACAGTGTTAGCAATTGGAACCCCGGAAGTGCACCTTTTCTGTCCAAGTGCCTGCCCTCTGGAATAAGGTTTCCCCTGAAATTTGAATGGCTTCCACCCTAATGCTACTTTGAGGGACTTTATTCTTTGCCCAGGACTTTGGAAGGGACAATTAAGGCTCCTTTCTTCTTTTTCTCCATTTTTCACACTTTTAGATTAGCGTCTAAAACTTCAGTAGCCTCTGTGTATTCACTAGCTTCAATTGTATATGCATAGCTGAATTTTGGCTAGCATTAAATGCAATTTAGTATCAATTTATACATTGTACCAAGTAAAATTTCACATTATTCAAATTTGCACTAATCTTGACCTACCTGTATTGAATTGACTTTGATCTCTGATCCTAAAATTCCTGATCTTAAAGGGCAATCACATAAGTTGTTAATATAAAATATATGAATTTCTTATGAATCACGATATATTGAATTAATGCATCTGAATATCCCATGGGTTGTATAACTTGGGAGCATATTAATTCATAGTAATATAAGCAAAATGACTGACAGCTGTCTATATAGGCAGAGAAAAAAGAGTTTATCTACTATTAACAACTCAATTGAATGTAAACAATATATAACAAAATCTGAAGACACATGTAATTCTATATAACTTTTATATTTTTTATTTTTTACATTGTGTTTGTGTGTGTGTGTATGTCAGTGAATGAGAGAGGGGGGATTGTTTTGTATAATAAAGCTTGGAAATAGATAGCCACATGGATATAGGTATATAGAATATTAATAATAAACAACAGAAGTAACAAAGTATCTCTTAATACAATCTAGTCCTTTAATTGTTGA